AAAAAAAGAAAAAGAAAAAGGGAAAATGTCAATTATTGTTACTGAACCGTAAAGTTGCTTTCCTCATGTAATTGAGTTCAACCAAATAATAATGAAATAAGAGTCTGTGATATTTCTGTTTTTTGAAGTGTAATTTTGATTTTAATTCTTATTTATTTTTTCTGATGCCATCTGAAGGATTACATTTTACATTTTTTGACATGCTTGTTTGGTCATAAGGATTACTAACCTATAAATCTATTTTAAAGTGCAGAAATGATGCAGGGCTGGCAGCTGCAGAGTTAGCACTAGCTGTTGAGAGACATATTTTAGAATCTGGATCACTTGATACTGTTGGTACAGTAGGTAAGTCATGCTTTTCATATGTAAGCAGTGAATCCGTTCTTCGCTGTTATTAATATATGGAATTTCGTTTCAGATTATGTCAAGCTTAATTAATTAGAGCTAATAGATGTTAGATGTATTCTTCCTGTTTGGCAGGTATTCTGGAGCTGCATCCTGGGGCGATAAACAGCATACCTAGAAAAGCACACCTGGAAATCGGTACAGTTCCTACAAATACTTCACATTTATAAGAGCTGAATGATCTGATCCTGCAAATTTTATAGGCTCTACCAGCAATGTCTTTTATTTGCTTATTTGAAGTTGTTTTCTTTCTTTGTTTAATTATTTTATTGTTGGCAGACACACGAGACATTGATGAGAAAAGAAGGAATACTGTGATTGAGAAAATCCATCAATCTGCAAATACAATTGCCAAAAACCGCAGGGTCAACCTATCCGAATTCATGATTGTAAATCAGGACCCACCAGCCCTTTCTGGAAAATCAATTATTGAAGCCATGGAAGTTGCGTCAAAGGAGCTGAACCTAACTCACAAGTTGATGATAAGCAGAGCTTATCATGATTCATTGTTTATGGCAAGGTAATTTTGAAAGTGATTTAGCATTGGAACCTTTAAAGGCATAAAATTAATTTCTCACTTTGCTTGAAAACTAAAAATCAGGATCCAACATCTAAGAATGTCTACTGCAAGCTGATTAAAGAAAACCTGTAGGAGAAAACAGGAAGAAGGTGGCTAACTTTAACATCTAAGTTGGTTGTTAATTTTGTTGTAGATGGTCAAAATTAGAACCATTAACTCTGCCAATACTGTATAGTCTGTATTGAATGGGATGCTTGATAATGTATGGCGTCCTGATAAAGGTTCTTCATTTTCAGAATGTTTTCTTCCTCCTAAGCCTTGCTGATAAACATGAGATGTTCTAACTATTCTTTTCCTGAATATGCATTTCCAATTCTAGGGGAAGAGGGAACTGGGCCATTGGCGTGGGGTTCTGGAAGCAAGAATTTGATATAAATTCCAATAAATCTGGATTATTTATAATTGAAATAGTGACTGATATATTATGCATTTCAATCCTTGCAGGATATCTCCAATGGGCATGATATTCATCCCATGTTACAAAGGTCTGATTTCTTTCTGGTTTCTGCAAGTAGCCATCTTTACTGATATATTATGGTTTTCATTCTAAACTTCCATTTACACTCCATTGTTTGATTTGTGTAATAAATTTTTAGTGCATAAAGAAGCAGATTTGATTGCTGCTAAATCTGGAATAATGTTGTCACCATGTCCCTGAAGCTAAACTAAAAGACTCAAAACAAAAGTTGCCTATGGAAACCATTGCTAGTACACAAAGTGCTTTATTTAGGCAATGAGCAAATAGGTCAACTTTCTGGCAAACTTGACACAAAACAATCTTCATAACAATCTGACAGACATCCATTTGGTTTTGCAGGATATAGTCATAAGCCCGAAGAATATGCTTCCACTGAGGATATAGCAAATGGGGTCAAGGTTTTAGCACTAACACTTGCAAAGTTGTCATTGTCCTGAAGCATTCATTCTTCTTGTATATTAGCCACTCAGTTTTTATTGGAAGTTGTTACATTATGCTTTGTTCTCCACCATGGGTGGCTGGTGCCACTTGAAAATTGTATGGATATTTTAAATAAAGAAATTTGGTTGTGGATGTCATAACTTGCTTCAAAAGTATTAGACTTTGTCATTTGAGTCATATTAATTAAGCATCCTGTTATTCTTATTGGCTGTAATGTGGCTGCTGGACTTTGTAAATCATCAAGAGAAACAAACAGAGACTACAAAAATGCATTCATTTTACTGGACAAAAAAAACGAAAGGCTACATGTCTACATCATCCTCTCAACAAATAGTTGGAGAGAGGAACAACATACTTCAAAATGGTAAAGACACAGAAATGTAGAGGAAGGTTCGGCTAGATCTGCTCCCACTAAGCTGTTCCTATCTGCAGCATAATCATGCTAACAGCAGTTCCAACAACTAGTCTATCTATTTTGTGTATCAATTATGGTATCTACATAGGTATCTACTGAATTGTCAAGTCGAAAACAAGCAAACATCACGCTGCAGAAATCAGATCTCAGTGTCATTGCTGCGGTCAATCAAGCTGCAGAACTAGCCCCTTTATCAGAATCCTTCAGGACTGTGGCAACATCAACACTGCTGGTCTTGTCAAATTTCTCAACCTTTTCCAGCACAATCTCAATCTGTAGGGGGAGACAGTTAAGATATAAGCAACATGACCATGGAAAATAAGACTTGACTGTACTAGCCGCATCATAAACCCAACGATTGATGCGATGCAAAGAAACGAACCTTTGCTTTCTCAATCTGGCGACCCATCTCATTTTCCTTGGGGCTGATTATTGTAGAAATCGTGATTCCTGTTTCATTTCCAAAATATCGAAATCAGCAACAATGAACCAATGCAATGATCATCATACAGAACATAAAATGTTTGAGAGGGTTTCTCACTTTTCTCAGTTGCCTGTCCATTTCGTTTCAGAATCTCAGCAATGGTAACAACAGTAGGAATAGCTGGGTTTAACAAACCATAGGTATCAGCAATTCAGATACTAATAAAATTACTAAAGCACAATAATTAAGAGTTGTTCTTTCATTAATACATGTAAGTTCAGATTCAGTCAAAATTATAAAAGATTAACTTTGATGATGAAAATAGAGTAAAAAGGAAAAAGACAGATCATTAAAGAATCCAACAGTTTGTACCCATGCCCAGAGCAGAAAGTTCAACATCATTGTACAGCTTCAGGTACTTCTGCAACAAAACAAAGGAAAGATTTTTAAGAAACGGAAACCTGGAAACCTTTCTTCATGAATATATATCAATCCAACCAAATCAAAACCCAGAATTTGTAAATACAGAATAGAAAAAGCAAGTTTTCATTAGGATTTTTGTAGATTGTCCCAGATTATCAATCAAACTAGATTATGAAGCAATTACAGGAGAAAGAAACCACGGATGGTAAAACACACAACGAAAGCATCAGGATTCAGGAACATGCAAGATTACTGAGAAACAGTGAGCAAAGAATCTTAAAAGCGCAATAATTCCATCCAATCCATCCTTGCCATCTTCTTCACCAATTCCCCAAATCTAAGAAACCAACCCCCGATTCCCCAAGAGAAGAAAAGAACCACAATTGAATCACCAAAGCAAAAGATAAAAGAAGAGAGCACAGAAATAATCAGAAATAATCATGAAAACCCAGTAAAATTGAAGAAACCCTAATTAATTCGACGATTTGGCTATCGAAAGAAACAATCTCACCCCACCCAAGAATCCCCAAATTAAAGCACCCTCTCGCATTATACCTTGGCAATATTGAGATAGAAGACGAAGGGCTTCTTGTTATTGGAGACCTGAACCCTATTCTTCTTCCTCTGGGACGGCAGAACCGAAGTCGGAGAAGAACCGGCGGAAGTACTGCCATCAGCATCGGCGGCAGCGGCTACAACAGCAACAACGAGTGGCTTCTTGCCACCGCTTTCGGCGGTGCTGGTGTGGGAGTTCTTGGCTCCGCTTCCTTGCTCCGCCTTGGGGATCTCAGCTACGACGTCGACGGTTGTTGCCTCCATGGAAACGACTCTCTGTTTCGCTCGCTCGCTCGCTCTACGGAAATGTGGGGAATTGGCGCGAAAATCTGTTATGCAGTTAGGGAGTTCTGGTGTGAATTTGTTACGAGACGGGGTTTATATAGGAAAATAATTAATTCATTGACCAATAGGAGAATGACGCGTGTCTATTCCTCCGGAATTCTCGATCTGGGTTTCTTGACCTTTCCTTCATTCCTCTTGAAGATGACGCCGTCCCTTTTCAGATTGGGCTGCTCCGTAAATAGGCCCAAAATGAATATAATAAAAGGTTAAATGCCAATTTTGGTCCCTCAACTTTAAGGTTTGGCACAATTTTCGTCTCTCAACTTTTTTATGTATTTTTTGGGTCCTTCAACTATAAAAAATACATTTTTTTTAGTTTTTTCATCAGTTAATCCATTGAATTCATCTAAATATACATGTTTTTAGTTCTTTAACTTAAAGTTAAGAGATAAAAAATATACATATATTAAAAGTTGATAGAATAAAAATGTACATATTTAAATAAATTTAATGAATTAATTGACCAAAAAATTAAAAAAATATATTTTTCATAATTAAGAAATTTAAAAAATACATTAAAAATTTAAAAATAAAAATTATGTAAAATCTTATAATTGAGGGACCAAAATTAACATTTAACCTATGCTAAAACCACTATGATAGATGGACATTGAAATTGAGCCCAAAAGAACCAAAGAGAGTCATTCAAGAGACCAAAAGATCCAAAAAAACCACTCGATTTAGTCCAAGTTTTAGTTATTGGATCTGGACTCAAGTCGGGTTCTAAACCCCATGAAATATATCAGCTATCTGTCACCGTCTCTAAAATTAATCTCTTGGGACTTCGATGATGATAAATCAATTGTCGTCATCAATCACAGCCGTTGGAATGTTCAAATCAAAGATGTGGGACCCTTTAATCATTCACTTGACAATTAAGATTAGGGGGCGTAATAGAAGGAAA